TCAAGAATTTTGTTTTCTCCGTTATGCATGTTAAAAGTTGGATTCTCACACTACAGAAAATTCAGGTATTACCGGCGGTCCTATAGCCGCCGGTATTAACCGTTTGTGTTTAATAAACTGCTACCGAAATTAGCGGCGGTATAATAACCGGCGGCTATGGTATCCGTTTTATTTTATATTGGCGCATTTACTAGCGGTTAAAGCCGTCGGTTTTAAGTGACTTATTTTCTGCGTTATAAACCGCCGGAAAACCATCGAAAATTGCCCTAAATTTAGCCCTCCCGAGCCTTCCTCTTCACTTCTTCGCATTTCTCTCGCTACTGCAGACACTCGCCCCCTCTCCTCTGGCCTCTCGTGATCACGCCTCCGAGTACTATGCAGGAATCCGGCCGCCGACAATCTCCCTTAGGTCGTTGAAAACCTCCCTCCGGCCGATGATCTCAGTACCCCCAAGTCGAACCTCTCTCCTCTCCGATCTCCTTGAGTCGCACGCCCTGAACTTCTGCTCCAGCTGTCAGACTCGTCCACCTCCTCTACCCTAGTCACCGGCTCTCCTCTTTGATGTTGGTAACTTCCCTAAAAATAGTGATGGCCAATGGTAGAATGAATGATTTCATGATATGTGGATGGAGTTGCTTTTTGTTGGGTTAGAATACATGAGCAAGTGAAGTTACATCTTATTTCTTATGTATCCCTAATGAGCTCATGAGTTTTGGGTTAGAACTTATGTATTTGCACGCGATAAAAATGATCCCTATGGATTTTCAAATTCTTCATGAATATAACCAACTATTATTGGGTCTCTTGTACCTAGTAGATGTTTTAATCATATGTCCCTTTGAGGTACCATACTTTTAAGCATGCGTTTGCAAGTTATACATTGATTGTGAGAGTAATATCTATGGCCTTTCATACCAGTTTATGTAGTGGACCGTAATGGATGATGACTACATGCTTTTTTTTTTTTGCTTGTATTAGTTTTGAAATAAAGTTGGGTTATGTTTTGCAAGCAAATGCGTATAGCTTTGAGTCTCTTTGTTAAGAGATTTGAGAAAGCTCTTACTATTATGTGGAGGTCAACCTTAGAGTCTATACCTTGGTATTTGCTTTTTCTTAGAGGATGTACCTTTGTGTTTGCTTTTTGCTCATGGTATTCTTCTTGTTGATAAAATAAGAGAGGGAGTTCAAGGTAAACTTGAATTATGGAAATCAACCTTAGAGGATGTACCTTTGTGTTTGCTTTTTGCTCATGATATTCTTCTTGTTGATTAGACTAGAGAGGGAGTTTAAGGTAAACTTGAATTATGGAGGTCAACCTTAGAGTCTAAAGGTTTCGCTTGAGTAGATCTAAAACTAAATATATAGAGTGTAATTTTATTAGCAATAGATCCTAGTAAGGGGATTGTGACTTTGGGTGATCAAGTCATTAATAAGAGTACACGTTTTAAATATCCTAGTTCTAATGCATCGGGCTTATTGTGCGATACAAAAGTCCTCCTCAAGCTTAAGGGAAATTTATATAAGATGGTGAGACCTACAATGCTTTATGGTGCCGAATGTTGGCCATTAAAAGAGAAGCATAATACTGAGCTAAGTGTTGCAGATATGAGGATGCTTAGGTGGATGAGTGGTTTTACCCTTATAGATAGGATACGAGTCATTAGCCGAGTTCTCCATTTTGTCACATAAATTATTTATCTTGTATTGTTGTATTTAATGAATGGACGGTGAATGCATTCCAATTCAAGTACAATACACTTGTTCAAAAGTAAATCACGTACACTTATTCAAGCTGCATATCTTCTAATAAAGCCACCGATAAATACCGATGGTTTACCGGCGGTTGCCGGCGGTCAACTGGCGGTAACCTGACGGTTTAGCTGCTGGTAAACCTGCTATTTTGACGTTCGGTAAGCCACCAGTAATTAACCGGCGGTGACCCAGAGGTTTAGCCGCCGGTAGCAACCAGCGGTTTTCATGGCCGGATAGCCGGTAATCCGCCGGTTATTAACCGCTTGTCACCGGCGCTACGATCGCTGGTAATTATCGGCCGTCTAGGCCGCCGGAAAACCGCCGGTAAGTATAACCGCCGGTAATGGACCGGCAGAAATCGTTTCCTACGCGATTTATTCGAGCTGTTTTTGAACCGCCGGTTTTTACGAAACGCCAGAAATCTATCATTGACCGCCGGAAAAAACCGCCGGTAATGCCTGAATGTCCTGTAATGTCAAGATGTATAGCCCTCATATGAGATATATTACACATGAACCATCCGATCATAATTGAACCCTTAGCTCCCATGACGATAACGTCTGGTTGAGCTCAATCTTGTAATGATATTTGTTAATATTAAGAAAAATTGCTATCATTTAAGGGCAAATATATAGTATTTTGATGCAAGTTTGATTACATGCTGACTTAAATCAGACTATAACATTAATATTAACAAATGATTTATTTGGGGGAGTGGGACTGTAATTAATGAATTGATATGTCATGACAATTAAGTGTTATCCATTTCAGTCATTGACTTCTGCAAATGCTAATTAAATATAAAAGTGGCATTCTCTCTCACTTGTGATGTCATTCACTTGAGCTTGTTGAATTGTTAACAACCATCTAAGTTGTTGGGAATCTTTAAAGCTATTAGCAACCAATAACTTTTTTAGGCTAACAATCTTATTTTCTCTACAAAAATATAGATTTTATAAATTGTTATTATGTTCTTTCAAAGGTAAGAAGGTTGAAGAAGTCCTACAAAATAAAAGTTAAAGAAGTCTTAGGATTCGTTTGGGACAGCTTTATTATTGTTTTCTAAAATTACTTTTTAGTACAAAAATTTCTAATTCAAGAAAAAATTTAAGTAGAAAATTGTTTTAAAAAGCATTAAAAAAGTCGTCCCAAACGAAGCATTATTAAAAGTTGTTTTAGAAAGCTTTATTTGGGATGACTTTTTTTAATGTTTCTTAAAACAACTTTTTAGTACAAAGTTTTAATTTTTGTAGTAAAAAGTTATTTTATGTAGTAAAAGCGTTGTCCCAAACTAAATCTTAGGCTTCGTTTGGGACGTCTTTCTTATTGCTTCTTAAAGCAGCTTTTTAGTATAATAAATAAATTTTTTTTATACTAAGGAGCAGTAAGAAAGCCATCCCAAAATAAGCCTTAATCATCAATAGCCAAAGCTCCATGTTATGTTTTAACAAAAAAAAAAGCTATATATCACAAAACAATAAGAAATAATCAATAAATTTATTAATAATAATTTTATGATATATATCATTTGAACATGCTTTGTGAGTAGTCTTCCAACTTAAGAATATGGTAAAGAATATATTTTCTTACCTATTTCATCATTCCCAGCACTAACTAAAAGGTTGAAGGCTTCAATGTATAGATATCATTTTGTGAAGTGTTATAATTATGAATTGAGAATCTTTAGGGCGTCTTTCATTGAAAAATCATTTAAAAGTTATATACTTATACATTTTGTATCATAATAAAGCTATTTTTTTATCACTTGTCATTAATTTCGTATATCATATACTATAACTCTTAATATAATTAAAATATTAGTTAGTTTAACTAAACTATTAGATAAATATATCTAAGTTGTATATTCGAAACCGTCCATGCAAGGCTGAAGGCAAACAAGCTGCTTAAAATGGAGGCTGTAGATTGCTCGAATAAATTAGATTGGACCAAGTCATCAATTGCTACATATGGGCTCATCTTATATAGACCTGTCAATATTGGACCCGACCCGAAAATCCGACCCGGAAATTTCGGGTTTGGGTTGACCCGAACCCGAAGCGGGTCGGGTTCGGGTCCGGAAAATCGACCCGTTTGCAAAATCGGGTCGGGTTCGGGTTGACCCGGAAACCCGAAATTGACAGGTCTAATCTTATATCAGGAAAGCTTCAATGTATATCTCATGTAATTAAAAAGATATAATTAGCATATCTCATTTTATGGTAAGATTTTATTATGTTATATTATATTATTCTCATATTTATTTTTTAATGTAAGTTTTTTTATATAGTATTGTCTATACTCCTATCTATAAATGGAGAAATTATTCTATGCGAAGGCCGAACATAGAACGTCGTCCGGAGACCAATAAGAATGTGTCACATCAGCGATACCGAGCAGCGGTACTAAGCAGTACTGAGTCGTGGTACCGAGCGAAGGAGTGATGTGGCGCATTCTGATTTGTCTTTAGACGGCATTCGGCATCCGCACAGAATAATTAAGAGAGAGGGCCGTAGGGCAAGTGATGCAGGCAGCACTTATTAGGATACTCCGGCTGCTCACCTTACCTTCATTGCAAACTCCACTACTTTTATTATCATTAGCTTTAATACTTTTTCTGTTATTACAGTACTATTTTCCTGCACTATCACAGTTTCTAGAATGAGTAGTTTCTTACTCTTAGTTTCTTACTCTTAAGCCGTGTGCTGTAGAGAGAAGACAGTTTTAGTTTTCAATACAATTTCTCCCAGTTTTTACTGTTCCATTGAGCTCAGCTCTTTGTGTGGATCTCTCCTTCTTGCTGCTGCACCAGCAATCCTAAGAACACTATTTTTTTGTCTCAACCTGAACCTCTCTACTTTCGAGCAAAAAAAATATAGAATTTTTTTCATATTTTCTTCTTCCTCTTTTTAGTTCTTTATTTTTCATAGTCAATTTTACGAATAAGGTCTGAATATATGCCATGCATAAATATGAATTCAACAAATATTATTAGATAAGATAGTTATAATACTACACGTCTACACATGCATGAGTAAAATTATTTTAAATATATTTTTTAATTATCCTACATATTTCATAATTCGCAGCACTTGAAGGGTTCAATAGAGAAATATCATTTTGTATTATGTCGAAAAAATGTGAATTAAGAATACTGAGGGTGTATTCTGTTAAACTACGACATGCAAAGCCAAGAGGGCTCTCGTGTATTTAAAGCCCGGATTCTTTTCAAAATTTCGATTTATGGGGATTTGCAGAATTTCTTGAAAGAGGAGGAGCGACGAAGGAGATCAATAACAGGGCATAAATGGCGAGAAGAGCATTCCTGATGTCGTGCCTTAAGGGTGAGGGATCCTCTCGTGACCTATCTCCAAGGCCCCGTTACCCATCGATGCCGAGATACCCTAAGGGTGTGGCTGCGGTGGCGGCGATTGGCTGCGGAAATGACGTCGAAGCTCCGCCAGAGGATCAGAGGACGGCGATGTTCTCTGTGATTGGAATGACGTGCTCGGCTTGCGCCGGGTCGGTAGAGAAAGCGATCAAGCGATTGCCCGGAATTCAAAACGCAGCCGTAGATGTGCTCAATAACCGTGCTCAAGTTATCTTTTACCCTAATTTTGTTTCTGTAAGTCCCTTCTTCCTAATTTTGTTTAAGCGTAAAGAATTGATTTGTTTTTGCTTTAGTTTGATGGCTTTGGGGTTCTTGACGGAAAGATCGTTACCATCAGGAGAATAATATTGGGACATTTAGATCAATTAAGACAAATTCATATGCATATCATATATGTAAGAATCAAATTCAGAATCTCTTAATTGATTGCCAAAGCTTCCAACCAACAGATCAAAATGATATGCATGAGTTGGAATAATGTTAGTTTGTGATTAGTTTTTGAAGATATTTGTTTTTTTTTTTTTGCGGGGGATTATTTAGATTAATTAAAACAAATTCATATTTAAGATCTCTTGGCAGATTAAGATGAGCTGCTTGAAGATATCTGTGATTTAGTTTCTGATTGTATTTTTTTAATAATTATCTGAATTTTTGTCTTCGTCCGTCGATGGCCTATTTTTAGAGAACAAATAACGTGGTCCAACTGGATAAGCCTATCGGAATTTCGTTCCACTCTTTTTCATTTTTCTTCAAAATTCAGCTAATTTTCCATTTTAATTCCTTAGGATATGATAGGATGGCTGTAAATCATCTCTCACTAATCTATTTCATGTCATCTTTTAATCTTTCTTGCTGTTAATCCATTTGTAACTGTGTTGATAATTTCTGTTTCTGAATTCTATATCTTTTGTGCCGATTAAATAAGCACCCCTGAATATTTCTCCGTCGACTTCAAATTCTTACACGGTTGCACTGTACGAGCTTTTCTATCTTCTTTTCCTTTTTCATCAACTTCAAATTTTTACTTCATTGCACCGTCAATCTTTTTTTTTTTTTCTTATCCTGCTATGTAATAGATCTAATTTGTTTGAGTTGCTGTATTAAGAATGTTTTAGAGATTTTATTATAATTTTTTAATTATGAATTTCACTCTGAAATCACCATAATTTTCTTAAAACCTAAAACATTGGCAATGGGAGGTAACCATCAACTCGTACAAAATTAGGCGAAATATTAAGAGCAAATTCGTTTTAATTTTCTTAACAAAAAACAAACTTTTAGAAAATAGGAAAAAACAAGTCCTCTATAGAGGGACCACTTGTTGCCACCTTGCCAAATATTTTGTCCCTGGTTTCATGAGGAATATATATATATATAGTTTAATTTTTCATTCTTTAGATACAAAATTGAAATTAATTTAAATTTACATTTGATTTAAGTTTTATTTTTATTGTTTATTGTTGCGTCCTGGAATATTCGCGGCGGTAGAGAAATATATGGTTTAACGTCTTAGCATTGTACGAAGATCCAGCACACAAGCAGATAAGAGAGGGGGTGAAACATTTATAAGAGACACTAGAGTTTTAACGTGGAAAACCCTGAAAAGGGGGAAAAACTACGGGGCCTGGCCCAATTTGAATGAATCCACTAGTATTTGCAGTCGATTACAAATGAGGCTCTTCTTTTGGAGAAGGCCTTGTATTGATGTAGCAAATATACATCATATAGATTGTATTTCATGGTAGGAGTTACATATACATGTTTGTTTGGTCAGAAAGACTGTAGTTGGAAGGAGACAGGGGTCAGAAAGACCGTTGTTTGTTGATGGAGGCCGGACGGACCATAGTAGGCGACGGAGGTCGAAAGGACCATAGTCGGCAGTATTCTGGGAGAACTGTGGGCATCAGGTGGTGGCCTGGTGGAGCTCAAGGCCTCAAGTAGTGGTCCGGCGGAAGTCTGGGCCTCATGTGATATTCTAGTGGAGCACATGACCTTTGATGATGATCTGGCGAAGACAAGGGCCTCTAGCAAAGGTGAGGGCCTCTGGCGAAGGTGAAGGCCTTTGGCGAAGATGAGGGCCTCAGATGAAGACGTTAGGCCTGAACATCGGGCCTTGAGCAGAACGTTGGGCCTATATGTCGGGCCTTCAGTAGAACGTCGGGTCTGAACGTCGGGCCTAAACGTCGGGCCTTTAGATGGTGGTGCGGAGAAACTCTGGCGGTGGTCCGGCGAGTTTCCGACGGTGGTACTCCGGCGAGGCTCCGGCGGTGGTCCAACGAGGCTCATGCGGTGGTCCGGCGAGGTTCCGACGGTGGTTGAGGAGGAGCTTCTTCCTTCTCTTCTTGGCTTGATCCCTTTTGAAGAATGAGGGCTCTATTTATAGATTTTTCTGGAGTGCATGCCCGTAAAATAGGCGTGAGATCAGGGGCGAATAGGGAGTGGTCGAATGGACGGTCGATATTGAATCCTACGATCGTGCACCGTTCGTTGGTTATTTGAGGGCCTTATTGATGTCGGAATTCAGTGATCTTGGGCTCATTGGATTCGTCTCGTCGAGCCGTTCGATTCGAGTATAAGCTCGTTAAAATCGGAGATCGTTTGGTAACTCAAATAGTGATTTGAACCGTCCAACAGCACAGTCCTTGATTCGGACCCATTTGGGCTCGGATTGAGTTGAATTTGGTGTTGTTAAATTCATATTTCCGAGACGCTAGTTTGACTGTAAGCTCGTGAAATCGGAGTTCGGGTGTCTCCCCGATTTAATTTTTGAAGTTCCCAACTTGATTTTTGCCTCGAGATTCGTGCCCGATCAAGATAATTTTTTTACGACGTATCATTTATAATAATTTTTATATTCCACATGGGCGCATTAAAACGATCCAAATCAAACTGTTCGCATCAAACTTGGATGACAATTTTGGGATCTCGAAGCGCTGAATCTATTAATAATAATTATATTGAAGTTTTTTTGATAATCATAAGAAAATGAAAATAAACCTATTATATTATAAATATATTAAAAATCTAAAACAATAAAGTTTTAGACCACTCAAAATGTTTTAATATAATTATTTATATTTTTATAATTATCATAATAAGATATTTAATTTAATATTAATTTATATAATATTTAATTAAAACTTTTATCATAATTATCATAATATTATACTATAATTGACATAAGATTATAATGTAATTATTCTAAAGCTTAGTTGCTTCAAGATCTCTGGAAACAACATCAGATTTTGAAGCGGACAATCTTTTTTGAGAAAAATTATTCTATGCGGATGCCGAACGTCATCCGGAGACCAATCAGAATGTGCTAAGTCACTCCTTCGTTCGGTACTGCTCAGTATCGCGGCTCGGTACCGCTGACATGGCTGCGCCTGATTGGCCTCCGAATGCAGAGTTGAGTCCGGCGTCCACACAAAATAATTTCTCCTTTTTTGGATCATTTGTAAGATACAAATGCTTTGAATATAGAACTTAAATTTTATGTAGATTTAAATTAGAATAAAACTTAATCTATAACTAAGGTTGTTGCGAATGGGCATTCACGACGATTGAGATATAAAGAGCTTAACGTCTTAGATTTGAACGAATATCCAACACACATATAGATAAAGAGAAAGGGGGAAAGTAATATTAAGAGACCAGAATTTTTACTTAGAAAATCCTAAATAGTGAAAAAAACCACAGGTATTGTCCAGTTGAAATGAATCCACTAGTATTTGTAGTTGATTACATATAAGGCTCTTTCTTAGAGGAAGGCCTTAACTCAATGTAGCAAATATACATTATAAAGGGCACATTATATGGTTTGAGTTGGAAGAATCCAGTGGCAAGAGAGTTGTTCTCAAAACAATGTTGGCATGTTCATTTGGTCAGTAGGACTATAGGCGGTCGAAAGAGGTTGGAAGGATCGTAGTCAGACGGCTGAAGGTGGTTTGAGGGACCATACTTAGGCAATCGAAGGAGGTCAGAGGGATCATATTCAACGGGCGACAGTGGTCGGGACCATAGTTGGTGGGCGACCATGGTCGTAGGGATTGTAGTCTGCATGCGATAGTGACCGAAGGTATCGCAGTCGGTAGGCGACGGTGGTCGAGGGACTGTAGTCGACGGGCAACAGTGGTCGGTGAGACTATAGGTCAGCGAGCAATGGTGGTTGGAAGGACCGTAGTCGGCTGGCAACGATGGACGGAGGGATATTTCTTTTTTTTTTTTCTCACACCAAGATGTTGTAAGGTTGGATGAAAAAGGAATTCAATTTATGAGAAATGTAGTGTAAATGAAATATTTTTGTGTTGTTTGGATAAGTGTAAATGTTTTTTTTACATAAATAAAATAAATGTAGTGTAACGTCTAAAGATGGTTGCGACGGTGGGGGATCGTGATAGTAGAGGGAGGTGGTTGGCTAGCGGCTGGTGTCTAACGGCGGTGAAGGTGGCCTATGGTGATAGGTGGTGGTGGTTGGCAGGCGTCTGGTATTGGGTGATGGTGGTGACCGGCAGCAAGCGGAGGCAAAAGAGGTTGCTTGCAAGGAAAATAGTCAAAATTGAACAAGTTTACTTCCTTCAAAAATGAACTAAAACACTTTATGCTATATATTTTTAATTTGCTTTCCTTTTTCATCAAACCAAACACTTATATTTTTGAAACTCATTTAAATAATTTACTTTACACCCACTTCACTTCAAACAACCCCTACTAAAATATTTAACTTATTAAAAAGATTTTATCCCATTGCCTCAAGTTGCTCCTCCATCGGGTGATGTGGATGATCCCTAATTTTTCTTAAATACTTTTTTATTAAAAAATAAAAATGAAGTTCATTCTCAAAATTTCGCTTTTTGATGTGTTTTATATAGTTATCTTCTTATATTTGATTGGTGTACTCTTTATTTCTTAGGCAGAAGAAAAAATATTATTAATTACAAAATATATGCTAAAAAAATTGTGGACGTAGAATCAATGAAAGTGCTTTCAACGAAAGAACAATCTCCAAGTTTAAAAAAAATGAAGGAAAGAACAAAATGAAGCACAATCTAATGAAAAGATATATTCAGAATAAACGGATCCACTCTAAAAAAAGAATAAATAGAAAATATGAAAATCATAACTGAAAATATATTGATCAATAAAAGGCTTTTCTTTTAATTTTCACACGACAATAATATATGTCAGAATACCTTCATTAAAGTCTACTTTTCCTTGGTTCTAAATACCTGAGATTGATCATTAAATTCTACTTTTCCTTGGTTCTAAACACCAGAGACTGATCATTTCTATCGTTTTGTTTCACGTTCGAGGACATAATTTCGATCTGCTCTCCATGGCCAACTCCTGTTCCTGATTTCTTAAGAAACTAAAAACTGCAGGAGGACCAAATCCGAGAAACAATTGAAGATGTTGGATTTGAAGCTGCACTGATTCAAGAGGATTCCAAAGAACCATCAACCCTCACATGTCGGCTTCATATTAAAGGTATGACCTGCACTACTTGCTCCAACACTGTGGAATCAGCTTTGCAATCTGTTCTTGGGGTGCGGAAAGCTATTGTAGCCTTAGCAACAGAAGAGGCAGAAATTCGTTATGACCCTAAGCTTGTAAGTGCTGACCAACTAATGAAAGAAGTCGATGAGACTGGCTTTGAAGCTATTCTCATTACAACTGGGGTTGATAGGAACAAAATACAGCTCAAGATAGAAGGGGTTCGCACTGAAAGATCCATGAGAATTGTTGAAAGCTCACTCCAGGCACTCCCTGGTATAGAAGAAGTTGACATAGATCCCATTCTTTATAAAGTTTCGGTGTCCTACAAGCCAGATCAAACAGGCCCTCGCAACTTCATTGAAGTGATACAATCAACAGGATCTGGTCGTTTCTTGGCAACAATATACCCTGAAGGAGGGGGGAGGGAATCTCACAAACGTGAAGAGATTAGGCAATACTACCAATCTTTTCTATGGAGCTTGTTGTTCACTATCCCAGTATTTCTTACTTCAATGGTGTTTATGTACATCCCCGGAGTAAATCATGCTCTAGATACTAAAGTAGTTAATATGTTAACTATTGGAGAGCTTTTGAGATGGATATTATCAACTCCAGTCCAATTTATAATTGGCCGAAGGTTTTATATTGGTTCTTACAAAGCTTTACGACATGGTTCTGCTAACATGGATGTGTTGATAGCTCTGGGAACCAACACAGCCTATTTTTATTCACTCTACTCTGTGGTTAGAGCAGCAACTTCACCAAATTTTGAGTCGACTGATTTCTTTGAAACTAGCTCTATGCTCATCTCTTTTATTCTTCTGGGAAAGTATCTTGAAATCCTAGCAAAAGGCAAAACATCAGAGGCCATTGCTAAGCTTATGGACTTGGCACCTGAAACTGCAATACTCCTGACCCACGATGAAAGCGGAAATTTGTTGGGAGAAAGTGAAATTGACAGCCGGTTAATACAAAAGAATGACGTGATCAAAGTGGTTCCTGGTGCAAAGGTTGCTTGTGATGGCTTTGTCATATGGGGCCAAAGCCATGTCAATGAGAGCATGATAACTGGAGAAGCACGACCTGTTGCAAAGAGGAAGGGGGATAGTGTGATAGGTGGTACTGTAAATGAGAATGGTGTGTTGCATGTCAGGGCAACACATGTAGGATCTGAAAGTGCTTTATCGCAGATTGTTCGCCTTGTTGAATCGGCTCAAATGGCGAAAGCTCCCGTCCAAAAGTCCGCTGATCGAATTTCCCAGTATTTTGTGCCACTTGTAAGTTTTCCCTCAATTACTGATGCTTGCTATTTTTAAAGGGCAACTTTTTTTATTGTTTTGTTTTTTTTTTAAGCTTCATAATTGTAACAAATTTTTTGCTGATTTTTGTGATGGGCTGTTTTTTTATAATCAAATATGCTAGTGTGTTAGTTATAAGAAGGTTTTATTTAATTTTTTTAAAATGAAAAAAAAAAATAAAAATAAAAACCACAACAGCTCTAGAAAATAACTATCAATTGCAGCTAATTTTACAAACAGCCTCCCCAAATGGGACTTGCGACTCTTGCTATCGTCTTTTGAGAATAGGTAAACTAGCTGATTTTAGCAAAAACTTAAATGCCTAATTGAAAACTTATACATTTTATCTACAGGTCATTACTCTGTCCCTCTTAACTTGGCTAGTCTGGTTTCTATCGGGTAAATATAATGGCTATCCAAAATCTTGGATTCCATCTTCGATGGATAGCTTTCAGCTTGCTCTTCAATTTGGTATATCTGTAATGGTCATAGCATGTCCCTGTGCGCTCGGCTTGGCAACTCCTACTGCTGTTATGGTGGGCACCGGAGTTGGTGCTTCTCAGGGTGTGCTAATTAAAGGGGGTAAAGCACTTGAGAGTGCTCATAAGGTAAAGAATTAGTAATTTTTTTAACAGTATTTTTCATACATTACCAAAGCGAGCATGAATGTTATCATCTCATCTTATCAAGCTAATTTGATTTTAAATATGAAATAATTAATTTCATTTATTTATAGTTAGTATTCAGACCTAATGGATAGGATCCTCTAACTATCTCTTAGACAGAAATGTGGGTGGACACTACCAAACAAGATTTAAGCTGGGTCATATATAGTCAAATAATGTTTTTAGCCTTTCATAAACCCTGGTCGGCTCGTTGTGTTTGTATGGTTACTGAAAGGCTTAATTCTCTCTTCTAGGTGAATTGCATTGTCTTTGATAAGACAGGAACACTTACAACAGGGAAGCCGGTTGTCGTCAGCACAAGGCTTTTGAAGAATATTGCACTACATGAATTCTACGAATGTGTTGCAGCTGCTGAGGTCAGTATCTTTTTACTATCGGCCATAATGAGAGCCCTCTACTTTATAGAATTTCCAAACAAGAGGGATAATTAATATGCTAAGTTCAAAGAAAATACATAGTAGTTCTTGCCATGTCATTCAAAAGTTAAGCACGAAAGTTGTTTTATCGAATAAATATCAGTGTCAATTCCCATCAACTTATATGCATTGGTTGTCTTAAGTTTCGTTTGGGATGGCTTTCTTAATGCTTCATAAAGTAGTTTTTTAGCGCAAAAAAATAAAATTTTTGTACTAAAAAACTACTTTGCGAAGCAGTAATAAAGCCGTCCCAAACAAAATCTTAATCTCTACAAGGTGAAAAAAAAACTTATATGCGATGGTTTCCAACAATAATCTTATAGAAATTGCGTAAGAGAGCCTGAAATATGCCTATCAACAAGATTTTGTTTCCATAACAGGCGACAACATATATAATATATAATACGTTGATGCGTCCTGAAACAGGTGAACAGCGAGCATCCCTTGGCTAAGGCCATTGTGGAGCATGCCAAGAAATTCAAAGAGGAAGAAAACTATACTTGGCCTGAGGCACGAGACTTCGTTTCAATAACAGGTCATGGTGTCAAAGCCATGATAGGAAACAAAGAGCTCATAGTGGGCAACAAGAGCTTGATGCTAGACTCTGGCATTCAAATCACAGATCAAGCTCTCGAGCTCCTTATGGAAGCTGAGGAAATGGCGCAAACAGGAATTCTTGTAGCCATCAACCATGACATTCTCGGAGTAATTGCAATATCCGATCCTCTGAAACCTGCGGCGCAGGATGTCATATCCATTCTCAAGTCCATGAATGTCAGGAGCATTATGGTAACAGGGGACAACTGGGGCACTGCAAAAGCAATTGCCAAAGAGGTCGGGATAGACACCATTGTTGCTGAAGCAACTCCCGAAGAGAAGGCAGTAAAAGTAAAGGAACTGCAGGTATATTTAGATTCACTTCAAGCTCTTCTTCATTGCCATTATTTCTTCAATGCCCGCTCTTATTATGCACTGTCATATTATGTAGATGTCTGGGTTAACAGTGGCCATGGTTGGTGATGGAATCAATGATTCACCAGCACTAATCTCTGCTGATGTGGGAATGGCTATAGGTGCCGGCACTGATATCGCCATCGAAGCCGCCGACATTGTTCTTATGAAGAGCAACTTAGATGATGTTATAACTGCCATAGATCTCTCAAGGAAAACCTTCTCTCGGATTCGAATGAACTACATCTGGGCATTGGGTTACAACATCATTGGCATTCCTATTGCTGCTGGAGCACTCTTTCCATCAACAAGGTTCCGCCTTCCGCCATGGATTGCTGGAGCTGCCATGGCAGCCTCTTCTGTTAGTGTTGTCTTGTGGTCTCTCTTGCTGAAGAACTACAAAAGACCCAAAAAGTTGGATGCCCTCCATATAAGAGGCATTATGGTTGAGTGAAAATGCTTACATGAAAAATAAGATTAGCTTTGCTAGCTCTCTCCTGTATATATAGTGATTTGATTGTAAATAAAATAAGAGCTGCATGATCCTCTTGTTGCTAAAATAAAGTACTAAGTTTGGGAATGAAGACTCAGATTAATAATTTTAAGGGAAACTTGTAAAAATCACTTAATAGTTTGTCTCTCATTGAAAATGAAATTTTTTTTACAGGTTTCAGTCTAATAATCGGCTCGGCTCGGCTCATTTACAGCCCTAATGCTACCCAACCACCCATCCCTGTTGAAAAATTCTAAAAATATGGATGCGACAATCTATGGATATGTTTGCGTTTCAATCCAACTCAGAATGTCCTTAGAAGCTACTGATATATGTACCACATGTTCATTTGGAGACAAATTTTCTTACTATTTTCTATAATGAACTTTTTCCGGCAAAGAAATTTCTTTAGATTAAAAAAAAAAATCACAGAACAACCTATGCTTACAAGTTTTCGAAGCAGCTAACCATCCAAGCCACAGAATCATGGATTGCAAGCATCAATACAACTGCAGCCCATTTCTTTCCTCAATCCTCTTGCACTGACAATCCTCCTCACAGCTTGTGCATCCTTCCACCTCCCCACTGCAGCATAAATATTCCCAAGCAACACATAGTTTCCAGTGTTCGCCGGTTGCATCTCAAACAATTTCTTAGCTGCTATCTCTCCCAACTCCACATTCTCATGTACTGCACAAGCTCCAAGCAACGCTCCCCAAACTGCATAATTACCCTCATAAGGCATCTCTTTTATCAGCCTATGGGCTTCTTCAAGCCTACCTGCACGGCTCAGGAGATCGACAACACAAACATAGTGATCAATGGTCGGTTTCATGTCATAAACTCTCGTCATTCGGCCAAACAATCTTAAGCCTTCATCCACTAAGCCACTATGACTGCAGGTATACAGAACCGAAGTGAAAGTAACTTCACTTGGTTCCACTCCAGACCCCACCATCTGATCAAAAAGACAGATTGCTTTCTCTGCATGCCCATGAGTTCCATACCCAGCTATAATCACGCTCCAAGACACAAAATCTTTCACTGGTAATCCATCAAAGATCCCCCTTGCAATGTCCAAGCAACCAATTTTAGCATAGGAATCCATCAAACATGTTATCGATTCAATTTTCTCGAGGAAGCCAGTCTTCAGCAAGTAGCCATGGATGTTACTGGTTTGCTGCAAATCAGCAGAGCAAGAGTATGCAGGAAGCAAGCTTCTCATTGTGACCAAATCTGGCCATATTCCTTCCCAAATCATTAGTTTGAATTGCTCAACTGCTTCCTGTATCAGCCTATTTCGAGCAAAGCCGGATATTATTGCATTCCATGTCGCCGTTCTTCGTGAACTACGGCTAAACATTCTCAAGCTTGAATCCATGTCTCCACATTTCGAGTACATATCAATTAGAGCGGTCTCGACAAAAGCATCAGACTCGAGCCCAATCCTAATGCAGAAGCCATGAAAGCACATCCCATGAGCTACCGCAGGCAAGTTCCCGCAAGCTGTGAGAAGAGATGAAATTGTCATTGAATTTGGTCTAATATCTGATAACTTCATCTCATGTGACAGAGCAAGCGCTTCAACCGCACAGTCGTTCAAAACATAACCTCCAATCATGGCAGTCCAACAAATAACATCTCTTTCCAAATTTGCTTCATCAAAGAGTCTTCTTGCTGAATCCAAGCTTCCGCATTTAGCATACATATCGATCAGAGCATTCCTCACAGGAAGATATGATTCAAAACCATTCACCTCCACCAATTTATGAACTGAACAGCAGCTCCGCAAATTATTCAATTGAGCACAAGCAGGCAGCACAGACAACAAGGTAGCTCGATCGATCAACATGCCAGAATTTACCATTCTTTCAAAAAGAACCATTGCCTCATCAGCAAAGCCATTTTGCAAGCAACCCGCGATCATTGTGTTCCAAGAAATAACACTCTTGCAACCCATTTGATCAAACACCATCGCAGCTGCATCCTTGTTGTAACAGTTCATGTACATAGCAATCAAGCAGTTCTGAACATACTCATCAGAGCAAAATCCTTCAACCATTGCTCTGCAGTGAATCTGCGCACCGGTGGTGAGAAGGGAGAGGTCACCGCATGCCTTGAGGACAAAGGGGAAGGTTAAGTTGTTTGGTCTGTGGCTTGAAGATAGCATTCTGGTGAAGATAAGGAGTGCTTCATTGGGGAAACCAGCATCGACGCTGCTGCGAATGAGGAGGTTGAAGAGAGATGGATTCTTCAGGGGTATTTCATCGAACAGCTGATGAGCGTATGAAAGATGACCGCAGAGGAAGTATGTGGCGGCGAGTGTGCAGAGGAGAAGGGGATGCCGGGGGAGGAGACCGGAGGAGATGAGGAGGGCATGGAGATGCTCGCCGAAGCAAATGGTTTGGCGGCGAGTGTAAGATCGCAAGAGAGAGATGCATTGTGTTGGCGTAAAAAGGGGAGCCAGAGAGGAGCCATTCATTCATTAGCGTGAGGAAAGGAGAAATTATTAGGTACGGAGTGCGGACGGGAGAACCGTCTGGACACTAGTATAAAATAGTGTTCGGTACCGCTCGGTACCGCTCGGTACTCTGTGTCTGTGCAGACGGTTCTCACCCCGTCTGCACTCCGCACCTAATAATTTTTCTGAGGAAAGAGGCTTCTAATACGTTGGAATATGTCTTGTAGGATAGGTTTAGCACGTTGATGAGCGTAGGCTATGAAAGGTTTTACAAAGTAGGATTGCTTTTTGAGAATGCAAAGAATATAATAATTGATGAAGTTAATATATTTTTTATATTAATTTAATATTGTGTATTATGAAAGAGGAATTATTTTTTTCTTTATATCTCATAATATCATAATTTGGACCAACATGATTCTTATAATTTTTATTAGTCAAATACCTTATAGATTTATTTTCAAACTTAAATATTATTATCCTAAAGTATAAGCGGGATGACCTATCATATTCACGGGATGATTTCATCATTTTATAGCTCGAATCACACACTCTAAGTAATTTCTTTGACAACCTTTTTTATTTGATTGTTTAATCAGCCACTTGGTTCGCCCCTCTCTTATTAAGACTTATTATAGTTTGAAATCTTCAACTAGCGCTACATAAGACTTCTTCCAACAATAATAAGAAAGGTGGTTTATTTTTTCAATTTTTATTTAGGTTATATTGCATGTACTATCTCTTCCCACATTGATAATCTTATGTTATTAACCTTTATTGCAAATATGTTCAAATAGGTGTTAGAATCCTAGGTTTTAAAACACTAGTTCGAAAATTATTATACCCACAATATGAGATTTGAGTATAAGTTTAAATTAGATTTGAAGAAATAATATGGTGTTTGAACTTAGTCTAAATCTTGTTTAAATCTAATTTAACCCCATAATTTATGTTTGAATCAAATAAAGTTTGTTTGAATCTCATACTATAGGTTTGAATTAAATTTGACCCTTGTTTGAACTATAACCTTGAAATCAAAATATAGCTTCGAAATAAGGGTTTAAAATTTGGTTCTAAACCTTATAATGACTCAAAATATAGGATTTGAACCAATTATCTCATATGGACTTGCAATGAGTACAAATGTTTAAACTTATTATTCCTATAAAAAGGGATTGCATTGCATGGGTCGCATATTGTGAATGGATATGATGGAGAAAGTAATAAATATTTTAAAATCTAGGATCTATTCAATAGAGCTAAGTAATCCCCCTACCAATACATATTTAATCCTTATGACATGTGAATCTCTAGAGCCTTAATTCATTGGCTTCTCCTTAGGAAGGTTCATGCATTAAATAATCATCTCTGTTGTGCTCAACATCAAAGGTAAAAATACAAAATTTTCTGATAACTTAAGTAAGCTTTGTTGAAAATTTTACCAATAAGAAGTTTGAGGCGGTGTTTAATAGCAAAAAGTAATTGAAATTCATCCAAATGGTAATAGTAACTTCAAGATTTTTGATCTTGAGAATGCATTCATTGAGTGCATTGCTCGAGATGAAGAGTGGAATGTAAGTTTAGTAACTATACTTTTATGCTTTAGTTATGAAACATTTATGAAGTCATCACAATCTTCATCATGTTTTTCTTCAATTATTCTTAAATAAACATACATTACATCACTATTAGATGTTGAACTATCTAACCTTGTAATCATGATCTTTTACTGCCATGTACTCTATTTGTTCATGAACAATTGATTGGCATTATATATATGAAATCTCTTAAGTAAACGAAGCTAAAATCTTAAACATTGAAAAGCCTTTAGGTGTAATGAGATTATATATGCAAAATTTTATTAGGAAACTCCGTAGTGTGGGCTCCAAAAATTCGGCCCCAACCTCCCCCGCTGCTTTTCTTTCGAGGGGAGTTTTAACACTACCCAAAGATTTTGCCCTCATTTTGTGATGACTTTATGATCTGAGTTGTGGTTTCCTATAGGCGCAAGCCCCTATAGTTAATTACCCCTTCTACTAACGAGAGAGAACTTTCGATTAAGACTAGTAGTCGATCAGATACGTAAAAAATACGGGTTATCTAACATATAGTAGCAGCATGGGTTGAATATTGGAGATTTGGTATTTAAAATAGAAAATTTCATCATCTTGTACTTAAAGCGGATATTGGGGGAATAAATGATAGGCCTGATCAAGATCTCATGGTTCCGTCCTCCTGAGCCATTATGGTCCTTGATCTACTTAGTTATAAGAGGTAGTCGACCCAACCTGACAAAAGGGTCCTTATTGGCAACCATGGGTTGCTTCATCAAAAGGATCTTGTAGACTTTAGGTGAATATTTGTCTAATGGGACAAATTTGAATCCACCTTAGCTAACATAGGGCTTTGTGCACTATCGACTATATAATATTTATTAATATCTCAAGAATTTGATGCTACTAAAGAACGTATTGGCTTTGGCCATAACCGTAATTTAGTGGTGTCATTTGGCAACGAACCCACTTGGTTCATAGGGCCACGGGTCATAACTGTTTATCATACGGTTCGCCACCGATCATAGGACACGTATCACGTCCTTACAGGTAGGAGACTGTTTGAGAATGAATCCTAGTAATATTTTTGCCTGGCATTAGCTCTATGTGAGCTAGAGTAAATTTTAATTTGTCCACCCCGAAAAAATTATTACAGAGGGTAGATGAATTTTGCTTTTAAGCGCTTTAATGGATTATTTCAATTTTAAATATTTAGATTTGAAACTTTTTTTGAAATTTTGAAATTTTTTTGGAGTACTTGGATTTTGACTTTTGTGCATTTGGGTGACATTTAAAAATATTTGAGGATCACTCCGCTTGAGATCTACTTTCAACACGATCATCATTGGGGTATATGGGATTACTTAAGTTTGTGGATTAAACCTTGTCGACTCAGTCGGCCTGTCGACGAAGGATCGGGTTTCTCGTAGGCTTTATGACTTTGATGATGATTTTTTTTTATTGGAGGCCTTATGTGAAAGTATAAAATAGATATTTCGGTCGACATGCTGAGCGTATATCTGTTTGATCATTCGAGCCGTGTCGACCCTTATATATCTGTATAAAAGGATAGGACTCAAACTACATTCATTTATGAACCCGTGTAGCATCCCTAGATGTCACTTGTGTGCCAATAATACACTCGTCGGGGCCCATACGGGTTTTGTGATTGCACTTACATTTTTGTGTACCTATGTGTATACAAATTACGGTGCATGTGCGGAGACCTTTTTTTGTAATATTTTTATGCTGATCAGTCGTGTAGGTGATCACCATTTGAATGCAGCTTTCTATTTTTGGAAGCTTGAACACGCCTTCTATCTGGTTATTGGGATGTTGCATATCCGGTGGCGTTAGGCTTGTGTGTGTGGACTGAAGGTGTCGGAAGCTTAAAGTTAAGCTGAAGAAGATCGGTCGGCAGGGATTGGAAGGTTAGGGAGAATCCCCCCCGCTTGTTTCTGTGGATTATGGGTTAGAAGACTTGCGGCAGAGAACAGACGAGTGTGGAGGCCGGCTGAATGAAGTGGGGAAGGAGGATGATAGGCTAGGTTAGTCGGTTTGATGTGACCGAGACTAAAGAGGAGGCAGGTTGAGTTCGGAAGCAATGAGGAAGGATCGAAGAAGGAAAAATGGGAATGAAGCCCTCATTCGTCTTCGTTTTATAGATGTAAAAAGGAGCGTGTTTGTAGGATTTGCGCAGGATATTCAGACTGTTTTGACGTTGTTTGCAGAAATAGGACTATAGCATCAATGGGCTTTCGACGGGGATTTGCGAAATGGGCAACCAACTTTACATGTATTTTACTTTTGATTTGATTTTTTTTCTTTGGTTGTAGTTTAGAGGCCAACATGTAGTTAAGCGTACTCATTACGAAGAAATTATGGAATATGTGACCTCCTCGGAGGTTACACTAGCGGACCAAAATTGTGAGGCCCTTAAGCTAAATCCGATAATATCTCGATAATTAAGAATTTTGGGCTATTACAATGGTATCGGAGTAATACATTAGCCGGAAGATTAGGAACTAAGTGTCATACAAGGCAAAGTGCAATGCCATGGGAGCCACCTCTTAAATCTTGTATGGTACAAAGTGTTACGTGGCATGAGTCACCACTTAAACTTATAGGGCTCACTTCTAGAATCCTATCTGCCTAGTGGATGATTATGGGATAAAAATGTTGACGAGAACATCAATTACTTAAATGAGAAAGATTGTGAAACCTCTTATGTAAAAGAAGTTAAACTCTTAAACATCGAGGTGCCTTTTGATGTAATGGTCGACCTTCATTAAGAAATTCCACAGTTAAGTTTGTTCATCCCGAATAAAATATGGGATGTATGATCTCCTCGGAAGTTACACCAACAGGACAAAATCATGATGCCCTTAAGCTAAAGCGCATAATATCTCAATAGTTAAGAATTTGGGCTATTACAATATACAACTTTAGTTTTTTTTTTTTTTTTAGCTATAATTGACACATAAATCGTAGAATATTTTAATTAAATTTTTTTACTGAAAAAACTGTTTCTTAAAACAGTAAAGAAAGTTGAGCCAAACAAAGTCTTAGGTTTCATTCGGGACGGCTTTCTTACTATTTTCTAAAGCAATTTTTTAGTGCAAAAAAATTTAAACTAAAAAATTTGTACTAAAGAGCTGCTTAAGAAAGCAATAAGAACGCCGTCCCAAATGAAACCTTAGTCAATAACTTCAGGAGATAGGCAAATCGACCTTCTGATTAACTTCATTCACACCACCTTGTGCTTTCCTAACCAAAATCTAATAAAATCTCAAAATTTTCTCTCTAGTTCTCTCTTTTCTCTTCTTTTTGAGGGTTTTTCCATACTTAGCAGTAACGTAAGCACAGCTTTGGGAAAGATTTGTACCCAACAAACAACAATCTGCTCTCCTAATTATTTTCTAACAACTACTTCAAAATTTTAACTAGATATGCTAATAATTGAGCACAATTTATTGTCACATTACTGTTATTTTGACAGCAGATCGATAGTGTCAATAACAATACAAACATCATGATCTTCCACCAACACATACCTCATTCCCCTTCATTTACAAGCAGAAAGACAGCAGATATCCACCTAAACCAACAGCCTTGGGCTTCATTGCAATAACTACTTCCCCATAACAGCAGCCTTTAGCCTTCTTTTAAGTTCCTTCCTGCAACAGAAGCTCACTTCAGTTGTCACAAAAAATCCTTTTGAACATCTTGCAATCCCCTTTCTTTGATCCAGATTGGGAATACGAGGATTATGTGGAAAGCTACGTTAATCGCATACTTTATCATCTCGCCGAAACTGAAGCAGTTTCTATTAAGCAGCAAGTAGTAGCATAACACAAATTACAGATTTAAAAAATGAAGGGGCATAATATCTGAATGGGTGTCCAGACAATCCCTCCCTAATTCAACCATCGGCTGCAAGGCAATTTTGAGTATTTTTAACAGATATTTATGTCAATTTACAGCTTCATTTGATACGACTTTCTTTATGCTTATCAAAACAGCTTTTTAGTATAAAAATTTTAATTTTTTATTAAAAAGCTGCTTTATGAACCAGTAAGAAAGCCATCCCAAACGAAGCCTACAAGTGAAAACTATAGCGTTCCAAAAAGCTTGGAATTTTATCGCATAGCAGCATGGCAGATAAGGAGGATATCCAAAACTTAAAACTCGCTCAAAATTAGCTTCGCTTTCTTATTTGGGTCAAGTTTTGAGCCATGACGCATTCAATTTATTTCTTCCTTCAAATATATTTATTTATATTAGCTCACAACTTAAATGAACCAGGGTTTGTTTGTGTGGTTTGCCTTGAGTTTAAATTAACTTAGAACTAAGGTGGAATTTGTGGTTTTACATAAAGATCTTTCAAAATATTAAGATTTATATATTTAACACATAAAATTTCTTATTTATATAATAGAGCACTTCATTAAAGGAGTTAGCGAACTCTCAACAATGAAGAGGCATTCATGATGGATCTCGTCAAATGCAAGGAAGTTGTGACAGGATCTCGACCACAATCCACCTCCTTCCCCATAAGGATAGAGCTTCACTGATGAAGAAGAGACGAAGAAGTCATGAAAGGATCTCGTTCGGAAGGCTGATCAATTGTGATAACACCACTTTTGCAGCTTAGTCTTCGATTCCTCCGCTTGTTACTTCCACCTCCCATTTGTCCCTTGTTGAAACTCGACAGTCTGTCGATTTCCCGCCGACAATCTCTCCCCCACCATCGGTTATGGGATTGTTACAAAGAATGTGAGGAGAGTGTTATCTTTCAGATTACTTAAAATTTTAAATATTATGTATAGAAATAATGAAATTCTGATATTTAATATGTAAATCATAATATTTTATGTTCTATGTTTGTAAGTCCTCCTAATTTAAACGTTGACTTAAACTAAACAGGCTCAAGCTCTCTAACTTAAAAGTCGAAATAGAAATCAGATTACTATAAACTAGACTTATAATCAATTGTCACGCATCTCATCAAAAAATATAAAAGAACGAGCCAAAAAAAAAAAATCTTGAACATAGAACAAATTAGCTATACTCACATAAGGAGTTGTCGGTCAAGGGTAGAGGTAGAAAGGAAACCTCTATTCTCCTCGGCTCGCCTGAGAAGATAAGGAATGACCTGCTCCACCGTCCCGAAGACCAGATACTTGCTCACCTGAAACCCAGCATTCCTTAGCCCCAGCGATAGGCCGTCTCCCATTCCCATCAGCTGCGCAAACTGAAGCCTTTGATCCCCTTTCCCTAATCCCAACTCCTCCACCTTTGCCGCCGCAATCCTCCCTGCAGCAACCAACCCATCAAAAAAGCTCAATTATACAATCATCTCAAATAAAACGAATGGAGCTTGAACAATTTTCTTCTGCTCGTTACTAAATGAGCCCTATCAATCCTTAAACAGCAACTCCACTTCTTCTACAAAGCAGCCACTTCTTTCATCGGATCACTTCTCAGTTGCAGCTCTCCAATCATTCACTACATCTACACCATTGGAATCTTAAAACTTACTACCATATTACAGATGTTGTCCCTCTTAACTTTATATAAATACACACATACAATACATTGCAACAGAGTGAATTCATATTAATAATCAACTGCAACTTTATTTCTATACTCTCTGTTCTTTCTCCTTTCCCAGTGAACTTTAGTTCGCTACCTCATTTCGTTGTATTAGAGCTTGCGATTAGAAAGACAAGTGGGTAGAAGGCCTTGACCATTGTTGTTGATGGGAAGCAAAGCTCCACTGCTAACTGAGATAGAATACCATGGGGGCTGGAGCTTTGAAGATAAGAGGTGAGATGGGTGAAAGTGTTGAAATCGAAGTACGAAGGTTGAGAGAGAAGATGTGGTTGAGAGAATAGTACGGCGACTGCGAGATTGGATGAGTTGTTGTGTTGTAGGCCGCAGCAATGCCAACATGATACAACGGTATGTTCACTTTATCTGCAGATCTGATAGGTGGGGCAAGAGGTGGTGGGAGTGCGGCCGCGGCGAGGAGGAGCATTATTGCGATAAGAGATAGGTGATGAAAAGCCTCTGCTTGAGCAAAGGGCGATTGAGAATTTAAAGGATAATATTCTTGTGAACAATGTGTGAGCCCGTTGCTGAAACATCATCAATAGAAGAATTGTAGTTAAATAGATATTGAGTCAAGTTCCGCCCGACGTTGGTTCGTCGGGTGTAGAACCGGACCGGTCCAGCTGGGACCGGTCCAGGCGTAACAATGACCTAGGACTGATTGGTGGATTGGAGATGCTTCTCTAGCGTTAACCAAATTTCATGGCAAGAGTTGAGCTTGAGAATGCAGGGTAAAATTACAGGAGAGAGTATAATAAAGAGCTGTTGAAATATTTTGTTCTAGGAGATGCCAAGTATTGTATCCCGAGTTGGTTGTGATTTCACTGACAGTGTGGCAGCAAAGTTGTTGGTGGTGAATATTTTGATTATTTGTAGTTTCCTTATAGGATAATTCTCACTGTTGGGTTGGATGTGAATAATGGCATTGAGGTTGGACATGAGAAATTTGAGGGATGAAGGGAGGGTACATTTATCGATGAGTTGGCTGGGCTGTCCATGAGTAGGAGGAGAAAGACAATGGGTTGCGATTAGGTTAGTAGTGCCCCGATAACATGAAGAGAAGTAGTGAACTGCAATTCGCTAGGAAAGGAGAAAGAATAGAGAGTGTAGAAACAGAATTGTAGTATATCATTAAGATAAATTCACTCAGTTACAATGCATAATATGTGTGGATTTATATAAAATAGAGAGGCACAACATCAGTAATACAACAGTAAGTTGTTATAGTGCAATGGTGGATAGGTAGTGAACGGTTGGAGAGCTACGGCTAAGAAGAGTTCTGATGGAAGAAGTTACTGTTCTGTAAAGGAAGTGGAGTTGCTGTTACAAGATTGATAGGGTGCTTGCTTATCCTATAGCAAGTATCAGTATGACGATTTAACAATTTCAACCGTTTGAATCATTTGAATGGCTGGCTTGAAACACCAAAAAAATTAATCAGATTTTTGAAGTGGGAACTAAATCCGATCGTCCAAAATATGATTGAGCTGAGACAACCACGCTTATAATTATGATGATAACAATACAACATTCTAAGTTAGGTTTTCGATTGTGTTCATCAAAAAAATTGCATGTTCATACAATAAATAGGTTAGGTTCGAATTATGAGGGTTCTTTGCGCAGACATTCGGATAAGTTCAACATCAAATCAAACCTCAATCCGATCTGCCAACCTGAACCCTAGCGCCATCCTCACAAGCTCTCCCCTGCAAACAAATCTACAGAATTCAGAAAGTAAGCATTACCTGATTCAAGATTGTGGGTGGCGAGAACAACCGAAGCCGATCCCTTCACCATCCTCTCGAGCAAAAAAGCAGCACAATCATTATAACAAGCGTGCGTCTCCTGAATAGTCGAATGAATCGGAGACGCCACGCCTAAAGACTTCGCCAAATAACTCTCCCTCGATAAATAAGCCCCTCTCACCAGCTTAAATCCGATCGAAATCCCCGCCCGCTCTGCCGCATCCACAACCTGAACCAATCTCTCCTTTCCATCCTTCAAATAACTCAGCAAGGTATTATAAACAATCGGTCGCTGCTTCTTTGCATTAGCGTTGAACTCCAGCGATGCGGAATATATCATGTAGTCTATGGCAGGTTGCACGGACGTGTACTCTGCAGCGATCAGGAGAGGGAGGTTGGTGTCGGCGCAGCGCTTGCAAAGAGTGGCGAGTCTGGAGTGGGAGAGTTGAAGTTGGAGTTCTTCTTCCTAAGTGAGAGGTGGGGGAGTAGTGAGGGTGTGGTAGAGAGGGCTCAAGTTGGTGAGGATGGAGAAGGAGGTTTGCTTCCATGAGAGGTGGCAGAAAGGGTGTTTCTTTTCCCAGCGGAGGAGGTCGCTTATGCGTTCTAGGAGGTGGATGGGGCACATGGCTGTTATTTTCACGCTAATGAAGCTCACCTGTTGCAAAAATTATACAATTTGAAACAAATGAAAACTTGCTAATAAAACCATGAAATCAATTTACGTGCTCAAATTGGTATATTTTATTTTTGGAAAAAAATCAAAATAGACCCTTAATTTTTTTTTTATGAAAAATTAAAATAATCTTTAATTATACTAAATAATTATTTTGATCTCTTAAATCTTAAAAAAAATAAAAGTGTTATGATGGGATTATTTTGATTTTCTTTTCAAAAAGTTAAAGGACCAAAACAATCTTTTAATATAACTTTGGATTATTTTGATCTTTCAAGTCAATTCATGTTTAGTTTTAAATTAATCTTATTTGAATATAATTAATTTGAACTTGACCCACTTATCCTATAAGTTGAAAGATTTTATTGAATTTCTACTTAACCCAAATCCACTTCATATGAACGTGATCCATTTGACTCATTTAATTGAAACTTTGATTCAACTAACTCGAAAATGATTCGTTTAACTAAAATATAAATGATAACCAGTCAATTTTTGCCAATGCTATCAAAAAATTAATTGGGTCAAAATTTCATATTCAAATTCAACCAGATTTAGGGTCAACCCCAAACTAAATTTTTTGAGTTAGGTTTTACTTAAATAATTTATTGAGTCTTTTTTAGAGTTTTTTTGGGACAATGTTTTGATTGCTTTAATTTTCAGACATCAATTACAATTTCGTTTTACTATTGCGATATCATTGATTTTTAAAAAAATTTCTATGGTGGAAAGCTATTTTCTACAACCATAGTTACGAAGTTATTTTCTTTACCGAAATTTCACACCTAATATTATAAAACACTGCAACCGTCCAAACATATCCTTAATTTCATCTTAAGTTCTAAGGTTGAAGGCTCATCATAGAATAAAAATTCTCATTTCCACACACAAAGAAAAACCTATTTTTCTAATTTACAATGTTAAGTATAAAATGTGTGGCACAAAGATGAGCTACAAAATATTAAATTAAGTGGGTGAATCATAAATTCCTTCTGAAATTCTCATTAGATTTAACTAATTAGATAAGATGTTTTTTCACTCATTCTCTTAATGTGAGTAAAATATTTTTTCTTGATTGTTGTGTTATTAAATAAAAAGACATATCTTAAAATAAGATGAAAATATTTTATTAGTCATATATATAAGCTAATGGTGCAGAACGTTGGCATGCAATACTTTATGGTGTAGAATATTGGTTATTAAAACAGAAGCATAATATTAAGTTAAATGCTGCAAAGTTGAAGATGCTCAAGTGGATAAATGGCTTTACTCTTAGAGATGTGCTATGAAACGAGAAAAGTTTGGAGTATATCTAGTGGAAGATAAGATTAGAGAGAGTAGTTATAGATGGCTTGGTCGTAAAAACAACAGCCTTTCAATGACCCAGTTAGGAGAGTAGATGTATTAGATTTAACTTATGTTAAGAAAGGCAGAGGTAGACCTAAAAAGACTTGATTAGTAAATTGTTAGGCCGGTCCAACCTGGACCGGCCCAACCTGGACCGGCCAAGCCGGTCCCCATCTCTCCCCTTTGGAGATTTAGTTGCGGCAACCACCCTTTCTCCTCTCAAATAATGCATGGAGGTTCCCGAATGGAATTTCGGGTTTGAATACGACGACCACGGACGAGTGGACATCCTCCGGTCTCCTTTCTTTGACGTCGGATTCGACTTCGACGACACCGTCGAGGAGTATTTGGCCCGGATCGTACCTACCTTAATAGAGACCGTCGACGATCATTTTTTAGTTTACATTTGGATCATTGAAGGACGTCGCATTGCAACACCTCCACGACCCGCGCCGACCTCTTCCTCCCTACGGATCTACGGCACCTTCGCCCTAGGAGTGATCTCATCCATCGTGTGGTTCTTCTTCTCCCAACAAGCCTAGGAGTAGGTAAATGAGAGCGGCCTCAAGGTGAGACAATCGCTTTGTTAACCTTGGGATTCTAGTTGTTCTTTTCATTTGCTTTACGTTTGTTAAAGTTGTTATTTTATTGGCCTTGCTAATTTAGGTGTAAGTGCTTGCCTAGTCGTAGTTAACAACTAAGATTTCCGAAAAGCTTGAATTGGGAACAAGATTAAATTTGCAATTGTCATACTTGAATAATCTTTTGTTAAATTTCTAAATTCAAATCCTGGATTTACCTCATATTACATCACTTGGTAGGTAGGTGGTAAGCCATTGAGGATGTAAAGGATAATGTTCTTGTGATCAATATGCGAGACTGCTGCTGAAACATCATCAACGAGAGAATTATAGTTAAATAGATATTGAGTCAAAGCGAGGTCTTTCATTGTGAACTGCTAGGAAAGGAGAAAGAATAGAGAGTGTAGAAACAGAATTGTAGTAAATCATTAAGATAAATTCACTCAGTTACAATGCATAATATGTGTGTATTTATATAAAGTAGAGAGGTACAACATCAGTAATACAACAGTAAATTGTTAGAGCGCAATTGTGGAGATGTGATGAACGATTGGAGAGCAACGGCTAAGAAGAATTCTGATGGAAGAAGTTACTGCACTGTAAAGGAAGTAAATTGCTATTTTAAGATTGATAGGGTGCTTGCTTATCCTATAGCAAGTATCAGTATGAAGGTTTAACAATTTCAACCGTTTGAATCATTTGAATGGCTGGCTTGAAACACCAAAAAAATTAATCAGATATCAAAGTAAGTGGGAACTCAATCTAGATCGTCCAAAATATGATTGAGCTGAGACCACCGCGCTTATAGTTATGATGATAACAATACAACAGACTAAGTTAAGATTTTGATTGTGTTCCTCAAAAAAAAAAAATTTGCATGTTCATATAATAAATAGGTTAGGTTCGAATTATGAGGGTTCTTTGCGCAGACATTTGGATCAGTTCAACATCAAATAAAACCCAATCCGATCCGCCAACCTGAACCCTAACGTCATCTTCACAAGCTCACCACAACAAAAAAATCTAAATAATTCAGAAAGTAAGCATTACCTGTTTCAAGATTGTGGGTGGCGAGAACAACCGAAGCCGATCCCTTCACCATCCTCTCGAGCAAAAAAGCCGCGCAATCATTATAACAAGTGTGCGTCTCCTGAATAGTCGAATGAATCGGAGACACCACACCTAAAGACTTCGCCAAATAACTCTCCCTCGACAAATAAGCCCCTCTAACCAACTTAAATCCAATCGAAATCCCCGCCTTCTCTGCCTCATCCACAGCCTGAACCAATCTCTCCTTTGCATCCTTCAAATAACTCTGCAAGGTACCATAAACAATCGGTCGCTGCTTCTTGGCATTAGCGTTGAACTCCAGCGATGCGGAATAGATCATGTAGTCGATGGCAGGCTGCACGGACGTGTACTCTGCGTCGACAAGGAGAGGGAGGTTGGTGTCGGCACAGCGCTTGCAGAGAGTGGTGAGTCTGGAGTAGGAGAGTTGAAGTTGGACTTCTTCTTCCTGAGTGAGAGGTGGGGGAGTGGTGAGGGTGTGGTAGAGAGGGCTGGAGTTGGTGAGGATGGAGAAGGAGGTTTGCTTCCATGGGAGGTGGCAGGAAGGGTGTTTTTTTTCCCAGCGGAGGAGGTCGCTTATGCGTTCCAGGAGGTGGATGGGGCAGATGGCTGTTATTTTCACGCAGGCGAAGCTCACCTGTTGCAAAAAGTATACAAGTTGAAACGAATGAAAACTTGCTAATAAAATCGTGAAATCAATTTACTTGCTCAAATTGGTATATTTCAATTGGGAAAAGAATCAAAATAGACCCTTAATTTTTTATGAAATATCAAAATAATCTTTATTTATATTAAATGATTATTTTGATTTCTTAAATTTTAAAAAAGAATTAAAATTATTTTGGTGGAAATATTTTGATTTTTTTTTTAAGAGTTGAAGGACCAAAATAATATTTTAATATAATTTTAAATTATTTTGATCTTTCGAGTAAATGGACCATTTTACTCATTTTCTCTATGTATTTTTATTATAGATGTGTCAATTCATGTTTAGTTTTAAATTAACCTTATTTGATTATAATTAACTTGAACTTGACTAACTTATCATATAAGTTGAATGATTTGATCGATTTTCGACTTAACCCAAATCCACTTCATATGAACATGATCTATTTGACTCATTTATCATATAAATTATAAATATTTTAATATTAACACAACTCCTTTAACCAAAACATTTGATTCAACTAACTTGAAAATAATTCGTTTAACTAAAATATAAATGGTAATCGAGTAAATTTTTACCAATGCTATCCAAAAATCAATTGGGTCAAAATTTATTATTTGAATTCAACCCGATTTCGGGTCAACCCCGAACTAAATTTGTTGAGTTAGGTTTTACTTATATTATTTGTTGAGAGTCTGTATTTGAGTTATTTTGGGACAACTTTCTGATTGTTTTAATTTTCAGACAACAATCACAATTTCGTTTCACTATTACTATATCATTGATTTTTAAAAAAATTTCTATGATGAAAAACTATTTTCTGCAACCATAGTAAATTAGTAACGAAGTTATTTTTCTTTATTGAAATTTCACAACTAATATTATAAAACACTGCAACCGTCCAAACATATCCTTAATTCCATCTTAAGTTCTAAGGTTGAAGACTCATCATAGAATAAAATTTCTCATTTCCACACACAAAGAAAAACCTATTTTTCTAATTTACAATGTTAAGTATAAAAGGTGTGGCACAAAGATGAGCTACAAAATATTAAATTAAGTGGGTGAATCATGAATTTCTTCTGAAGTTCTCATTAGATTTAACTGATTAGATAAGATGTTTTTTCACTCATTCTCTTAATGTGAGTAAAATATTTTTTCTTGATTGTTCTGTTATTAAATAAAAAGACATCTTAAAATATGATGAAAATATTTTATTAGTCATATATATAAGCTAATGGTGCAAAATGTTGGCATGCAATGTTTTATGGTATAGAATATAGATCATTAAAAGAGAAGCATAATATTAAGTTAAATGTTGCAAAGTTGAGGATGTTCAAGTGGATGAGTGGCTTTACTCTTAGAGATGGGATACGAAACGAGCATATACGTGAAAAGATTGAAGTTGTCCAGTGGAAGATAAGATTAGATTAACTTATGTTAAGAAAGGTAAAGGTAGACCTAAAAAGACTTGATTAGTAAATATTAAAAATGACGTTTTTTATTAGATTTAAATGAGATTTTGACTCTTAAGATGACACAATAGAGAAAACGAATTCATGTAGCTGACACCACATAGTGTGATAAAAGTTTAATGTTATTATTGTTGTATATATATAAGCTACTATTACCCAAAAAATATCGTAGGGTGAATTATTTCAAGATGAGTAAAATATTATTTTGGCCAATTCATACTAATAACTCGTTGCTCCTATTATTTTCCCCTCACATTTAACTCTACATAATAATAACAACATCAAGCTTTTATCCCACTACGTGTAGGTGAGCCAAATGATTTTTTTTTTTCATTGTGTCCTATTAAATGTCAAACTCCCATTTAAATCTAATAAAAATAATTATTTCTCATACTTTCTAACCAAGTCTATTTAGGTGTCTCTCTAACTTCATTAATATAGGCTAGATCTAAACATCTACTCTCCTAACTGGGCCATCAGAAGGTCAATCATTTATCTGACCAACCCATCAAAGGTGACTCTCTCTAATCTTATCTACCACAAGAGATACTCAAACATTTTGACATACTTGTTTCGCATTTTTTCTCTAGCCACTCATCCACCTGAACATCCTGATCTCTTCAATACTTTACTTAATTTTATTCTTCTCTTTTAATCGCCAAAATTTTGCAATATAAAGCATTGCAGGTCTCACCACCATCTTATAAAACTTCCCCTTTAGTTTGGGGGATATTTTTCTATTATCTACAACAAGAGATGTATAGACCTTTAATTTAAAAAAAATATCCTAATTAATATTTTATAAAATAGATTATAAAATTATTAAATTTATTTTAAAATTAATACAATAGATATTATTTATACATTACTCGCAAAAAAAAATTTAAAATTTATTATAATAATTTTTATTAAAATATTCTTAAAAGAAAATACCTAAAATGTACACAAAAATTAATCTAAAAATCCCTATTGGATCCAAAGTCAACAAGACTGAAAGAACTCACCGAGTCCGGCGGCATCTTCGCCATCATCTCGACAGTCTTAATAAATCCAGCTAGATTCCGATCGCATGTACTTCCATCATCTGCGTCCTCCATCCCATAATTAACTATCCCCCTCAGCCCCCTCTCCCATAACCGGCCAAGCGTCCGCTCCGCCTCCTCCGCATCCTCCCCAGCGCAGAACTTCCGATACACAGTCCGGCGCACCGCCCCAACCACAGCCTCACGCAGCACACGCCTCTCCATCACCGCCGGTGATCGCATCACCGCCATCCCCAGGTCCACCGCCGGTTCCATCGCCATCGTGTAGAGCATTCCAAGCGACGAAAGTAAGTCTACAGTCGGAACCGACGCGTAGAGCCGCTCGGTGTCGTCGAGATTCAGCCTCGGCGCCGACGAAGCCGCGGGAGAGGATAGGATTGCTGGAGATACGGTGAGGGAGGAGAAGAAACGGAGAGGGAGATGGGAAAGAAAAGCTCTGCGGCTCAAGGCAACGGCCGCAGCCATTTAAAAATAGGAATCTTGCTCGTCCGCTCTGCTTTTTCTCCCGCTTGCTCTGTTTCTCTGCTTGTGCCTTACAGATTCCGGTGATGAACGTGACGGTGTTGAGGGCGGCTATGAATTTAGGGGAACCGGGCCTACATCCGAGTTTTTTTAAACCGGGCATAGATGGCCAGCCCGGGTCTGGGCTTATGCTGATGGGGCGAATTATTACATTCAATCATTGGACGTTTGGACATTCAATTCAGATGTGTCACATCATTTAAATATATTAAGTCCTGATGTATTTAAGTGACGTGATGCGTCTAGATTTATGTCCGGACGAATCCAGACACCGAACATAATAATTTGCCATGCTGAGGAGCTTACTTTTTAAAATAATTTATTAGAAAAACAATTGTGGGGACTTGGGGATTCATTAAATTGTATTCTAAGATTATTTTATTTATATTGAAATAAATGTTAGATTTATATTTAATTTATCTTAATTTTAATGTAAATTGACATTTTAAAACTCATCATAATATATTTTAAATAAAAAATTTATTATATCATTTTTTAAAAAAAAAATTATATTTTTATGTCTAATATTTAAAAATTATTTGTTTGTTTAATATTTAAATTTGTAAATTATATCAGAATGTTATTAATATTTATTTAATTAAAAAATAGATATTAAAATAATGTTTAAATAAATATAAGAAGTTTATAATATTTATGTATAATCTCTCTTTATTATATTGTGGGACACTAGTGGAATCCAGCGGTGAAAACTTTGTTGTGGAGTGGAATGAACGGATGAGATTACGTGGCAGTTATGGTGATGTGGTGAACAGCTGGAAGGATCTGCAAAATTTGGAGTGAAGAAGAATCTCCTTTCTAGCCAACATTAGAATTTTATTTTGATTTCAATGAAAAAATATATTTATAATTTTTCTTAATGATTAAAATCTGTGGTATTTTTAATTTTCATGAAAAAATATATTTATAACCGCTATGATGCGTGAGATTATTAAAGAATATTTTGATTGTATATGGCTCAATAATAATTATTATTGCTCCAATATGTATAGGTAATGATAGTTTTTTTCTTAAGAAAAAATGATTGCAAATTAATTTCCACCTTTAAAAATAAATATGGAGTTAAAACCCTCGCTCAAGAATCCAAGTGAAAACATCTCAAACCATGAGCTTGCTTAGCTGTTGTTCCTCTTCTTAGCACAGTATCCATCTCTGATGATTTTTCAAAACGCATGCAAGCGTCTACAATAAAGTTTCAGTTGTGATGGTTCTCCTCTCTATCACTTATATGTTTGAAGTTTAGTGATGTTATATGATGTTGAATTTTAGGTTTGAAAAAAATTTCATTCGGTTTTATAATCCTAATCCCAAAGAAGTATTCTTGGACATCAATTTTACTTACTTATGAACTTGTTAGAACATGTTCCAAACCATTTTTCAAATAATCTTCATAACAATGTTTTAAACTTTTCAAACAAATTTTGAATAATGTTCAAACCAATTTCAAAACCAGGCGTTTCAAAGATGGGTTGAGTATGAACAAGATCAAGGTTCAAACAAATATTAAGAGAAATGTTCACGTAATATTCAAATAATGTTCAAATAAAGTTCCGAGTATTGTTCAAACAATGATTGATTGTTGGTGTTTTAAACATTATTTTCATTTGGTTTTAATTTATGTTGGGGAATAAGGTTTGAGGCAATGATCTAATATTGTTCAAGTAATGTCATATAAGGCTTGAGCCTACCTTTGATCTCATTTTTAATGAAGTTGACTAGTCTTGAACTTGTGCTAAGCTTGTCCCTTGCGCTCCACTAAAGCCAATCAAAATAGATTCTACTAAAGTGGTCATTTTGGATTTTAGCCTTAACCCAAAGCCCTAAACAAAATCATAAAACTTAGAAACCATATCTCACGTACTAGTCTTTTTTTTAGAAGTTAGTTTGATGTGTTTTAGACTTATTTGGAAGCCCATTGAAATCAACCTTAAACACCCTTTGGCTTATTAGTATACCATAGGAGACATTTCATTGGAACTCTACAGCTACCTGGTAGATAAAAAAATGCCTTAAAGGACCCGCTTGGTAAAGATGACTAACTGGACCCAAGCCTATCCCATAGGGCTTAGGTAGTTCCAATCATAGGGTGAATCCAATATAGGCAATGCACTTGAACCCAAAAATCAATAATTAATTGAAAACCAAACTTAAAACTAAAAAATTAATCATAATTGAAACGCATATAAGAAAAATTTTTAAAGCTCCCCACAAGATAATTTAAGTACTTGAGCTTCGCTTAGAATCAAGTGCTTATACTTTTTGAAACAAATTGATTTTGGCTCTTAACAGAATGAATATTAAAGAAGAATACAATTAGGAAAATGCATTATGAATGGTTAGTTTAATATATAAATTAATGATGTTCTAGTTATATGGTCCTTAATTTTTGGAATGAGTTATAAATTGGTAAATAAGATCTTGACCACTGTTGACTAGTTTGAGTGTGAATTGGGGTTGAATTTAGTGTACTGGTTGTAGACGCTTAAGATGGAAAGTTCAAAGGGTTTTTTATGTTGTAAAGAGATGTCATGGAAATGTAAGCGAAAAAGAGGTATTGATTGAGTGCGGATGTTGATTTATTTGGGTGCAAAGATCAAATTGGTGCATACTAGGTGAAGGAAGTAGAATTTATGATCATAGACAATAGGGAAGCTTTCAAATCATTTGTATGCAATGTTGGGGCTTCAAGGGTGGAGAGGCTATATAGGAGTGCGTATAATTAAAAATTGATATTATCATTTAAGTGAGTGAATAGAACTTTAAAGAGGAGGAGGATGATAAGAATTTTTACCAAGAAGCTTCAAAGGAGAGGGGTGCGGTTACCAAAAACACAAAAGTGTTCTAAGCTCCAAGTTTTTGCAAGATCCAAAACTAATTTTTTCGTCTATTCATTACTCCTATTTATGTCTAATACAACCTATTCAAACTTTTAAATGAATTTTGAGGGAGAATTTTTGTGGAGATGGAAGTGGCCAATGAGCGATATCAAACATTTATTTCAAAAATTCCATTGCATCAATACATGTACTGTCCAACACCTTCTACTCCCCTTCTAAAAAATTCTTTACAACTCGCAAACATGCTTACATCATAAAAAAAATTATTTTATTAAATAATTTAAAAAGCAGAGCCAAAAAATTGAACGTCCATCATAGAATTGATCTATACCTTAGTTTGAGCTTCTTTGTCTAAACCGAACTATGTCAAGTCAGATGAGTACGTTTCAAATTTTGTTCATTTGTGATAATAGAAAATTAGCTTGAAGTGTTTCATGGGAAGTTTCCATGATAAATACACTTAATCAATATATAGTGATGTTGGTATTACCTATGTCAGGTCATTGATACAAATAACATTATTAATTTATTATCATCAGTGGTGTCCCGGCTGTGGCGGCAATGAGGGCAGAGACCGCACGATGGGCAGCGACCAGCAGTTGGTTTTGGAGGCAGTGATTGCCAAATGGTGGGGATGTTTTTGGCGAGCCGGTAATAAGAGGTCAACGGTGGAGTTGAGTGTTTTAAAAACATTACAAAAATTATTTTGACTAAATAAAAAATAAATATGATTTATTTCAGTATTAAGAAAACCACCTAGAAATTTCATTGCAGCAGCACACCTAAACAACAAAACTACCCCAAATATAGAGCATAAACTCCTCAAATACTTCATTAAAAACAGATAATTAATCATACTGATACAAAGATAATCAGCCCATTATTACCGGAGCAACTCTTTATTCAACGGTATCATCCTGAGGGAAAATATGACAACGAAAGGCAATTCAAATCAGCTGGAACTCCGCCCTCAGCCAAACCAAGCCCCTCTGTATTCTTTCTCCCCAATCTTCTTCGCCCTCTCCCTCAATCTCTTTCCCCTCCTCCTCCACCACCACATCCTAAACCCACCTCTTCCACCTTCTCCGCCGGCACCACCTTCCTTCCGGTGATCCCCACTCCCTCACTATTAACCCCCAGACTTCAAGTACTCTGTCAACACCAAGGGCGTTTCTGGGCTGGTCAAATCTCTGCATCGGCCATGCATGAATCGCGCACGCCAAATAGCTTCAAACTCTCCAATAATCGAGTTCGCAGCCGCAGTGGCTCACGAAGGCCGCCCGTCGATGGGTGCGCTAATTGTCCACTTGCGGTGCCCCATCCCTTCATTATCATTCCAAACCCCATTTCCATCTCCTCCTTTGATCCGGGCCGGGCAACCGGCCGGTTCGGCTGTCAAGAATTTCGGGACCCAATGGCGCCCCTTCGCAGCTTCCCTCACTGTTGGATTTATTGAGAGTAAAAAAAAAAATAGTTAGAGGAAAATGAACATATGAGATGTATTTCTTGAATATAATAATTACTTCTATACAAAATCAATGACGAATATTCTAAATTTAATTACAATATTTTTTAAAATAACTATATTATAAATTCAACAAAATGGTTCCGCTAAATGCTAGTAATGACTTTTAATGATTTAAGAAATAAAAGCTTCGGTTTTGGGGACGGTTTTTTTTTTATTGCTTTTACAAATAAAAAATTTTGTTACAAAAACTACTCGTTTTTAGAAAGCAGTAAAAAACCCTCCAAACGAAGAGCCTAAATAAACCCAATTTGAGCTTGATCTTAAAATTTTTAGGTTCGGATATAAACCAATTTAATAAAAAACAAGTTGGGTTTTAATCCTGAATCCAACTCTTAATTGGTTGGTCGGGTTCAGGTTGCTCGTGAAATCAAATTTTTAAACTCAAAAATGATCCATTAATATTTTTTCTCCTTGAAATTCCTATTAATTACTGTTGGATTTTTTTCTTCTTATTTTTTTATCAAATTAATATAAAAATTAACTAATATAAAGATTTTTTTTTAAATTTAAATGGGTTATCAGGCTAATTTTGAAACGTCCGAGTTAATAAGTTGGTTCGTTTCCTGTCCAACTTTTTATCTCGGGGAATTGGCATTTGGGTCCATTAAATTCAAGATCAGATCAATTTTTGGCGTTGGACCATATCCGACCTATTAAGGTTAATTTAACTTTTTCCAACTACCTACATAAAGTAGGTTAGGCTAGCAACAACTAATCAGATCACAATTTTTCCATTCAC